ATCACAGAGATGAAAAACACTAGAATCCATCAGCTGAGGTAATCATTAAGGACCTTAGTGGAACTGTGATCTAAGTGGCATGAGAATAAGTTGTAACTATAAGGTCACATGGCCAAACTACCTAATGTAGGATCATAAAATCGCTCCATAAGCGGGATGATGCTGCTTTTTCCCGAGCCGTTTCTACCAACAAGAGCAACAGCTCTTTTAGCCGGTACAGTAAGGTAAAATCCACTCAAGATAGGGATTTCAGGTCGGGACAAATAGCTGAAATACACATTTCGAAACTCAATATTTCCTTGCACAGAAGATAGGGTGATTCCCTCCTGATTAGCTGCAGAGGATGAACGACTTATCATCTCAAAGAGTCTATAGGCAGCAATTCGCCCTTGATCAAATGAATAGAAGTTTGTTGCTGCTTGATTAAGCCCCCTATAAATAAAATCAGAAATAAGAAAGCCTGTGGGAAAGATAGCAAACGGAAAGGAGGGAGAAAATGTTGCTCACAGGCCACTTAAAATTACAGCAAATAGGGCTGTTATGATTTCACCACCATGAACTTTGTGATGAGTAACCAGGAACCTTCCAACCCAGAGTTGTAGCGCACAAGAACATATCGCAAGCCCATACGTAAATCCAAGCCCAAGTCCTTGCACAAGACTAATCATTATACCATATCTCAAAGTTGCTTGAAGTGAGGTAGCATAAGAATATTTGGCCAAAGTTTCATTTGTAAATGCATACAAAGTCCTAATATATGACACTGCCTGCACCATTGAATAAGCCAACCACCCATTAGGATTGCACACATGCAATATTGGCCTAACTAATACATCCAGACAGGCCCGTTTTATATTCATCAAAGTACTACATCCAGACAGATAAATCTACTTGTGAAAATATCTCGGAGGCATTTACTAAAGGCAAACTTGAGAGAAGCAAAATCTGTCACTATTTTCCAACAGTTAATTCAGGCAAAACAGAAAAGAGACAAGCATATACATGATTTAAATGCATGAACATTGTTACTCAGCTTTCACCTTTAAAGGCACATAATAGAACCTTTATATGTCAAGAAAAATGTATTGATATAGTGATGACGACGTGAAACAAAAGACAACCATTTAATAACTCAAACACTAATAATCACCAGGGAAGTCCTGTCTTCAAATTGACTGGTATGCCACTCATGAACAGCATATACTCTTCAGTTATTGAAAGAGCAAAAAAGAGTTTTCAATCAGCAATATTAACTTTCAGGTCATGGGATAAAGTACTTTGTCAAAAGAACAAAGTCACGGAACCAAATATTTGAAAAGCTAAATTTTAGTATACAATGTTGGATACAAACATCTTATATAAATCCCAGCTTTTAGGCTAAAGAAAACTCTGTTTTAGAAGAAACAGTATGGTACAGCATTATGATGTCTTCTCCCTTCTTTTGAAGATAAAACCAGAGAAAAGGCAGTAACCTGTTCAGCAATGCTAGCTGCTTCAGCATATGCATCTTGAATATTCTCTGCAAGCCTGTGAAGAAAAATGTTTGATATGCCTCCAGCAGCAACAATGAATGGACCAGTGGCTAATGTTATAAGTGCAATTTGCCAGCAGTTGACAAATCCAATAACAAGACCACTAAAAAATGTAGCCATGTTATGGATATAATTCCCAACCTGCATCATGGAAGGCCAAAAAAAAGATCAAATTAGACATTAGAAAGTGTAATTTATTGGACAATTAATGGGTGGGAGACATGCATGAGGAGTGACATGCTAGAATTGCACTTACTTTTTCGCTAAGAGCAGACTGAATGAGCAGCACATCGCTCAAGACTTGGCTCACAATGTCCCCATTGTTACCATAGGTATCGAAGAAACTCATATCCTGGTTCAGCAGTACTTGTACATATCTTGACCTGATGACAGCAGTCTGCCGTTCTCCGGTCAATATCCAGCACGAAACCTCTATTACAAAGAGAAGTCAGCATTGATGACTGCTTAGATGTGTTATTTATGAGAGTAAAAGGAACACAGTAAAAAGTTAATTTTCAAACAGCTAAACTTACCAATCCAACCAGCAACAAAAACGCCCACAGCTATATAGACAATTATTAAAGCAAGCTGCACAAAGACAAAAATACATTAAAATATTTACAGGTCCAGATTTTTTTTTTTAAATAAAAGTGTGGAGTCGTATTGATGTAAGAGTGCCAAGGGAACACAACCCATTTACAATGTATTTACAAGTCGATTAAACTATCAACAACAAAACCAAAATCATCGAGACAGTCAATGTTATATCCCAAAATAATGGAACGAAAATAGTGAAACCAACAATCAATAATTTTGTTAAAATCAAGATCTATTCCTATGTACAGGTCCAGATATACATGAGGAAAAGGCGAGGAAAATATATAGAAGCAAGTATCTACCCAATATGACAAAAAAATTCAGCAATTAAAAATGTCAGAAGGTTTTATTGCATAGATGAATGTTTTCCTAGAATAACTTCACCCGAGATTTTCTAGGGATAAGTCCATCTCACTTCCTTCGCTGTTTGTAGATTTCTCTAATCATTGTTGTAAGCTGTGAATTAAGGTCATAATTAACCATGACACAAAATGTAAGAAACATAATGTTTAGTTAATTACCTCCATACTGAATTCAACTAAATCAACTGCTTTTTGCGTGTAACTCAATTGAAGAATTATTTTTCTTAATCCAAAACGGAGAAAATGAAGAAATTGAACAAATAAAGAGGAATCAAATGCATACTTTCTAGGAGAGTTAAAAAGAGACCCAGAAAGTTTGAGAGAACAGATTTGGAAAAAAAAAATCGGTATATACTTATCTCCCAGGAAGCTGCTATACAATCCGCCACATCTCTGATTTTAGAAAAGACATGGAACGCAAGTTTTTTCACTCTCAAAGCAGATTATAACCTTTACTCACAACTGGAGTTCAATGCAAATGGAAAAAGAGACACAGGTAGAGAGGAAAAACCAATCACCAAAGAATCATGAAACCATTCTATTCCAAAAGAGGAGCAAGAAATGGTTAGGGGCAAAATATTAGGCAAAGTTGTTGGACGATGAGCTGCTCCCAACACTGGTGGATGTGATTCAAGGAGCCCAACTGGAATAGTACCACAAGAGACAAAACAATGCTCCCCAATGGAATGTTCAATTGATCCAACTGGGCTCCACTGAACTGCTAGGTATGTTGTAATATCGGAAAACCACTAGTAGAAATCACTGTTTCTTTCTATAAACAATGAATTCATAACTGAATTAATAGGATTTCAAAGGATCTGACTAGATTAAAATCATTATTTAAATCATTGGAAGAGACCAATTAAATGATTCTAGAACATTGCGGGTGTACAAATTCAAAAGCAAGGAATTCAATGCTACGCGTAAAACAAGAAATAACCAATAGTAATGACTCAAAACCGTTTCTTTCCAACAAAATTAATACGCAGAAAACGGGTGATCAAACCTACAGCAACAACCCGACAAATTACTTTACTTATTGTCTCCGAGCATTAACAGAAAGTAATAAAAAGAAAAACATGATATTGCATCCATAATATCTACAATACTTCAGTACCTCAACAAAGTCAAACCAATCATCCGAGGAAGTCAACTAATAAAAAGAAATTGAATATCCAATATTCCTATAAAAAAGTGAAACTTTAAAGCATGCAAGTTTACTAATTAACCATGCAAAAACCAAAAACAGGCTCACACCACTCGCAGATATCACAGATCATTTCGTAACCATTTTATTTAGGAAGATGGAATAAGAGATGCACTAGATTAAAAATCTATTCTTCGTGTTTACTCCAATAACCATAAATCTCAATTGAACTCCTTCCTTTCCCCAAATATTCACCCTTATCAAAATAGATACTATCATATCTTAAAAAAATTTTATACCGTTTTAACTTCCATTATGCACTAAGTAGGATGAATAAACACACTGCACTAGCAAACAAAATCAGCTGTCAGATCAAAAGAGTTCAAATTTTTTTCCATTTCTAGCATTCTCCTGCTAGCCTAGCCAAACATGAATGGTATTAAATATAACACAGCCCAACCACGTCCAAAGAAAACGCCTAACCTCAAGCAGCTATTCCTATGCTAGCGATGATAATTCCCTTAAAACTCCAGAGGTAGAATTCTAATGCTTCACATCCACCTCCTAAACCTTCTATAATCAATAAAACAGTACCCATTACCTTTTTCTGTTAAACAGCATCAACTTAAAATGACTAAAATTGAACTTCTAAGTACGAAAGTTACCTCAAACTAGATTCAAATAACAATATCCACCAAACTCGCAGGGTCATGGATAGACAGAGTACAAACACAGATGGCCTCCCATCTACAGTCCATTATCTCAAAACTACCTTTCAAGTAAAAAAGGTTAAACATTTACCCAAATTCCTAAAGTGAACCTAAAGCAATCTCTCATTTCAGAACCACAAATGGGAGTTTGTGGTTCGCGGGAACTGAAATTATCAATATATCGACCAATGAACTGATCCTAAGGTTCCAAACAAGCATCCAAAACCCAGCACTCCAAAAGCCTCCTCATTTCCAGCAAAATTGAACTAAAACTCCAGATATATCAGAAAAACATTAGGGTTTTTGAAAAACTTAGCAAGAAACTAACTGAAGACTATCTAACCTCCATGAATCGTTCGAATTGCTCCTCCGATCTCTCTGTGGAAGGCCCAGAGCCGATGCCAAGGACCTGAACGATCTTTGCAAAGTAGTGCAAGTACACAACGAGAGCAGTCCCATGGGCAGCCGCGGCGAGAGATCCAACGACCATAAGCACCCAGTCCAAGCGGTCGCGCAGCAAAGAGACGCGAGACGGCACAGCGGCTGGCGGCGGCTCATCTCT